TCAACATACCTGAACCAATGACTTGGTGGTGTCCCTGAAAAGGACGTCAAGGCTCTCTTTTCTACCTCCTCCATGTACAGGTTGGCACCAATAGAAGAAACTGGAGACCCCATAGCACACCCATGTTTCTGCCTATAATATTGCTCCCCATATGTGAAGTAGGTTGACTGCAGGCACAGTTTCAAGAGTTGACACAGTTGTTCTGTGGAAAGTGTGGTCCTGCTGCTCAGAGTGGTGTCTGATTTTAATTTTAAACTGACCACCTCTACTGCATCATCAACAGGAAGTAAAGAGTGATGTGACATCAAAAGAGACCATTGTGTCAGTCTCCATGACGACATCCCTCACCTTATCCACAAAGTCCATGGAGTTCTGTATTGCGCTTTGTCACTGTCTCAACTATCATCGATTCTGCACCACACCAGTTAAGGGCCTGCCCACTGCCAGTACCCACCCCCACTCATTCCGGTTGATGAAACCACCTTATTGGTGGTTCCAAGTGAACTGCTCCGAAGTGACGATTTTGGCGTAGGCTGATGGACCTCCTTTTGCATACGAACAACTAGTTTTTGGCTGTCACCAGTAAACCGGTTGATCCACTATGAAACTGTGCGGCTTATAAGACTTAAGACCCTGGCATACTCCATCCGAAGCTGAACAGTTAATGCGCAGTCATGCGGTTGTAGATAGATAGATGTATACTTTATTGTCCCCAAGGGGAAATTTGTAGGGACATCATGCGCTAAAAAGCTTCTTCCACAGTTAAATACACTACAACCAATAAAATCACGTGAACCCCAAAATAAAATGCGGGACGTTGGTTTGCACACAGACCTTCCATAGTCCACGAGACACAGATGTGGAGCTCCTGGGAAACACCTGCTGCAGTAAACGTCACCTCATGGGTTCCATCCTGCCAGAGTCTCCACTCCGTCCATGCATCCGTCGTTTGGCCACAAATCTATCATGAAGAGAGCGCCACACCTGTCAGCAGACAGACTCCTACATACTCGATGTCTGCACGATCTCCATCCAGGAGTTTTTGACCATTTGACTAATTTAGTGTGCTTGAAGAGTCGTACAGCTGAATGTTCGAGTGCATTTCCACACTGACGAACACGCCCACAAACCTCTGACCCATCACACACTTGGCGCACACACCTCTGAGAAAAAGTTCGGCCATGGTCTTGTGTCAAGAAGGGCGAGGCTGCTCTACTTACAAAATGATGCCATTTTTTGCCACGCCACTACGACAATGAGAGACTTCACATGGAGTATGCAGGGCTCTCGAGTTTGTTGCTGTTCCTCTGACTGAAGAAGTCTTTTGGATAAAAGACAAAACAATTCAACAAAGAAGAATCGTCCAGAGGGCCTGACTCAACCTTGTTAGGGTCATCCACCTATTGAGCGTGCATCGGGACATTTCTTGTTATATTTAGGTTTGTTGACCTCTCACATAATATCTGCCACATCTCACTGCCCTGATTAATTAAACTGAGTTCATGACGACTGAACAAACTCTCTGTCAAACTGCAGCTCTGAAGGATGAACTTAAACATGAAAAACCCTAGATTTTGTTTTTTTCCAGTTAGACTCATTTCTAACGGTTTTTGAAAAAGACAAGAAAAGTCAGCAGGAGGTGAAGCACAGCAGCAGACGATCACCACTTTACAGAAACAGGAGAAACATCCAAGAGAAGACGTTATAAGGAACATGGTTCAATAAAAGCAGCTCGCAACCACACAATATTTATTTAAATGTTTCTTCTGGATTTAGATGTTTCTGTCAGAACTCACTCGACGGACATGATGACAGCGTCCAGATCTTCTGCCATTTTGCGACAGAGGCGGTCGTAGGAGCGCATTTCTGTGAAGCAGAGAAATCTTTGTTTGGATATAACCGTTTAAGATTTCTACGTCAAATGTCAATAAAACTTTGCGGTAAAGAACTCTAAATTACAACACTGGAGTTACACAAGTCATTACTGTATTTTACAACTAATTTACTGTCTATGAAGAAGTTTAATAATTACATTTACTTATAAACATAAAACATATTTTCAGGCAGACCTTCACACTCACTCTTTTAGCATGTTACACAAATGTGTTTTTAGAAAAATAAAATACGTGCTCTACTTATCATGTAGGGCATTGAACAGAAAATATTATTAACTCCACTGCTAAAAAAAAGAGCCATCTAACAATCAATCAATAACATAAACGAAGGAGTAATGATCGATTCAAAGAAGTTAAGGTGCCCGAATCATCAGCCCTCTACCTCCGTGCTTGAAAGCTAGTATGTATTATTATTTGTAATAGTTTTAAGCATTGACTTTATTTCCTTTCCTTTGATTTCAGGATATTTCATAAATAGTCTGGAGTTTCAACCACAAATATGCATCCCAGATTCAATAAAACGTGGTATTTGCGGGGAAATATTTTGTTTTCATACCTTTGATTAGAGCTGACTAAAGTCAAAAAGTCTTAATGCAGAAAATATGAAAAGTAATCAGAGTAAACTCACTTCCGCTGGCGAGTGCCCAGCCCCCGCCATGGAAATAAATCAATCCTCTTTTCAGCTTCTTCCCCTCGTTTGGCTGAAAAATGCGGGTGGGTACGCCTCCGAGCGTGGAGTCCGTCACGTGCACGGCAGGGCAGGAGCGAGCGTCTGTCACCTCCACCCAGGACACCACCTTGTTCAACATGTGAATGCTGTGGCAGAAGCCCAGCTTGTGAACCACGTCACTCTGGAAAACACAAAAATATACTTACTGTGTTGTTGGTGTGAATACATTCACACCATCAGGATCCTGTTTCGATTTATACTTCTTTATACTATATACTTCTTTAAAAAGTCATTTAATCCAAAATGCTGCTGCCAGAGTCTTAACTGGAGTTACTGGGAGAGATCATATCGCTCCAGTTTGAGCTTCTCTCCACTGGCTCCCTGTTAAATCCAGAATTTAATTCAAACTCTTACTTATAACCTACAAAGCCCTCAACAACCTAGCTCCATCTTATATTTGAGGTCTTATTGTTCCATATTTTCCTAACAGAGCACGTCGCTCTCAGCCTGCAGGTTTACTTGTGGTTCCTAGAGTTTCCAAAACCAGAATGGGAGGAAGCTCTTCCAGTTCTCAGGCTCCTCTCTTGTGGAACCTTCCAGTTTCTGTCCATGAGGCTGACACGTAGTCCAGTTTTAAGACTTTCCTTTTTGATAAATCCTATAGTTAGGGTCGGCTTGTTATGCTGCTATAGACTAGGGCTGAACGATTTTAGAAAATAGTCTAATTGCAATTCTTTTAACCTCAATATTGTGATTTAATATGTTATTATTTTCCAACGTCTTCTTCTCATGTATTTGTCAACAAACAATAAATAAATCTGTTTCAGTTGTAAAAAAACACCACAGTTTTCAGCTCCACTGCAACTCTGTTTCTGCTTTTTCTTTTTGTATAGCTCCGGGATAGCAACTTGATGTAAAAATGTACGAGAGCATGCCGTACCGCTTATTACGGGTGCACCGACTGCAGTTTTCTGCCCGATCACGATCTCTAAAACGTCTGACCTGCCGATTCCGATTCGGTTTCATAAGCGACGCACGTTCAATTTTCAAATCTTGTTTTATTGGAAAACATGCCCTTGAACAAGATCCTAGAAACAATACAACCTTGTTTCAACTGGCCATGAGGCAGAGCTCTGAAATATAAACCAGGTCTCTGTTGTAAATGAGTCCCGAGGCTCAGTGGGATGAACCTGTCTAAATAAAGGTTGAATGAAAGAACGAAGTTTAGACAATTGTTTTTAAAACAACAAAAAAATCTGTAAAATCGGTTTCTCGTGCGAGTATTGGCCGATCTCTGATTTTCCAAAACTAAGGAAATGGGGGCCTCCCCGGTGCACCCTGTGTTCACCCAGGCCTGGTCGTTGTATTGATGGACATCATGTCTTTCACTACGAACTCCGTTACTGCTCGAGTTATTTCCACGTGCAGTTCTGAATTATGTTCATTCAGAGTAAAACCTTCGAACAGCTCGATCAGTGGGTCCTGTCGGCTGCTGCTTTGCTTACTTGAAGTTGGCGCGCTGGTCGTTGACGTTCTAGGCGTGCAGCTACCGTAAACGTCTTTGTGGTGTTTTGTAAGTGTCGGTAAAGATTCGTGGCGTTACCTCGAGAGGTAGCAACAGCAAGTATCAAACTTTCAGCTGTTTCGGCTTCTGTCGAGCCTGACGCCACCGTGCAGCCAGTTAGAGCTCACGGCTGACTTGTCCCTGCTCTGCTCCAATCCGCTCACTTGGAGGTCACGTGACCAGGTCATGTGACCGGTCAAAATCTCATTTTATCATATTGCAATATTATTGCTGTTCAGCCCTACTATAGACGTAGACGACTGGAGGACAAATGGACCTCATTTCTTAAAATTAATTGTTAAAATTAAATAGTTTTCATTTGATACTATTTTTATCTTAACGTGATTCTCGACCTGCCATTGTGTATCTGTTCTTCTCAAACCCAGCCGGTCGAAGCAGATGGACGCTTGTCCTGATCCTGCTAAAGGTTTCTTCCTCACGAGGGAGTTTTTCCTTTCCACTGTCGCCTTCATGCTCAAGATGAGAGTTCTGTGACGGAGTTAAACTCAGAGCTGCTCAGATAAATAACGTTAAATTATTATTTTTATATACGAACGTTTCTGTTCAACCTGAGACGACTTCTGTTGTGACTTGACGCTTTGTAAATAAACCGAATTAAAATTAAAATTGATTCTGTGTGTTCTCTTGCCTTTTTGGACATTTACTTATTTCTATACATGATGAAAAATGTTCTAATTTAATACAAAACATTGTTCTCTTAGAAAACCACCTTTATTGATTTTGTATTTTAATGCTACCTTCAGCTTAAAAAAACTTTCTGCTTTTAGATTCAAGACGGAGTTTTGATACTTTGGGTATTTTTACATTTTCAACTAGCATTTAGTTTTACCTTTTGGCTAGCAATTGCTCCACGTAGCCTTCGTCTTCTTTTAGCCTTCAGCTACTTGAACACATGTCTACAAACCCTTTCAGCACTCGTGAGACATTTGAGCAGAAAATGCAGTTTCGCTCGTCTGACAGCACGAGCAACTCTCGTCCTTTTTCTTTTGTGCTTTCAGAGAAACTGAATCACAAAGCGCACTGAAACACTGGGCAGGGTGTGGAAGCTGCACCTGCCAGTCTTTACTGACATGTAAAAGGTCAGGTCAAAGGTCGCTTGGCTGCAGTCTGTTCCACCAGACACAGTTTGTGGATCTGCTGTCAAGGTGCAGCTGATCAGAATCAGGGTGGAAGTGACACGTCAGCTCTTCTAAAACAAACATTTAAAATAAAATAAAATACAGTTTTTGACAGGGAGATAAATCTGAGGTCTTGTGTTTCACTTTGATTCTTTTTGTCTTCTTGTGCTTGACATAAATCATCACGTGCAAGGATGAATTATAAACACAGAACAGGTGATTCTATTAGTACAACTGATTGGTGCTTGTATGACAAATACTCCTTTTCCTGTAACATTTAGAAATAAAATGATTTTATGTTAAATAAGGAAATTAGATTCATGATAAAATAATCAATAGTTTAATAGGAAATGCGCTAAAATCGTTAAAATGACGTAATAATCATTCACGGAACATTTCCGTGCACGTCTTGCAAACAGTACTTGTACTGCAGTAGAAGTACCTTGCATCAGGTTCTGCGCGCATGTCGGTGAAGGTGTTAGTGCGTGCTCGTGAGGCGCGTGCAGCCTGTCCCGCATCACTCACCGCCTGCACGAAGCTCCGGAACAGCGCGTCCAGCAGCATCAGCTTCCACGGCTCGCTCACGCCGCTCGGGAGCGGCAGGTACACGTAGTAGGCGGCCGCGAGCAGCAGCACGGCCCCGCACACACCGAGCCTCATCGCGGGGGGGGGGGCACCACCACCTGCCGAGAAGAGCTTACGGAAGTACCGCGGGCAGGTCGCGGACGGTCCGTCGCTGCGACCCGGTTCGACGAAATGCAGAAGCAAGGCTCTGGTTTCAAAATAAAACTTCAAACGCGACGCTCCTATCCACGTTTGACCAAGGATTGAACGGACTTCAGTTTTATTTTGAAAAATCCATATAGGAAGTCTTCGGAGGTGGCGCTGCTCATGGGAATTGTAGTTGTATCGCGATGAAACGGCCGCCAAAGAAAAACACGTTTAAAACTGGGAAAAGACGACACGGGAACACATTTTAAGTTAATTTCTTGATAAAACAGGTAATGGCTGAAGTTTGTTTATGTGATTTTGTAATCTTGAAATAATATTATGACCATTGTGGTGTTGGTGACACAAACCAGAAGTCACAGTCTTGCTTATAGTTACTATTTATAGTAAATGGTGGAAAGTAGAATAATCTCCATCTCTCCATTTTCTGCCACTAATAACCGGATGGTAATTTAACATGTCTATCTGTGAGGCTGACACGTTGTCTAGTTTTAAGATTAGGCTTAAATCTTTCATTTTTGATAATCCTATAGTTAGGGTTGGCTTGGGTTTCCTGAGCTATCCCTTAGTTGTGCTGCTATAGGCGTAGACAGCTGGAGGACAAGCTGACCGCCTCACTCTTACTTGCTCTGCTCTACCTGTTTGTATTTGTAATTATTTCTACCTGAACATGTTTTGTCTTTCTTCCAATAAAAAGTCCACCTGGACCTGCCTTTCTGTTCGTGTCTCCTTCCTGTCCTCTCCAACCCCAGACGGTCCAAGCAGATGGCTGCTCATCCTGAGCCCGGTTCTGTTGGAGGTTTTCCTTTCCACCGGTGCCTTTGTGCTGGCGCTGGATTGGACTGCGATGAAGTGAAGATTGGCTTTCTTAGATAAACTGCTTTTACTAACTGGCTTTTGTTTGTGAATGTTTTTGCACAGTGTCCTGAGACAACTTCTGTTGTGACTTGCTATAGAAATAAACTGAACTGAATGAGCTTGTGTCCAGAGTTCATCCTACTATGAGTTACAGGTACATGTACACATTTGTAATGTTTCAAAAGTCTGAGGAATTGCAAGGTGGTTCATCAACCTGATTCAGACTTGGCTAGACTTCGGACTTTTACACGCTACAAAGTTTGTACGTTTTAAATTTCTTAAATAGAACTATTTACCATAATCTATTTGTAGCAACAGCTAAAAGATGGCTGTAAAATGTTAATCAAGATTTACTTCAAGGTTTTTATAAAGGCTAAAGGTTTTTAATGATGTTATTGAAGCTTTGGATGCTAAGGATTACTTAGACCTGTCCAAAGCCTTTAACACTGTAGATCATGACGTCTTATGTCTAATCTCTCAGATACTGGCTTCTCAGATCACACTGATGGCTGGTTCTCAAACTATCTCTCAGGTCAGAGGCAGTGTGTTTGACATAACAGTACTTCATCTAGCTACCTAATGGTCACCATTGGTGTGCCACAAGGCTCAGTTTTAGGTCCCACTCTTTTGACAATTTATATAAATAATGTAGGTCAAAACATTCCTGACGCATCCTTGCTTCTACAATTGTGTATTGTCGAGTTAACACAGTTGCCAAGGTTTTCCAGCTTCTACAGTCTGCATTTGAGATCAATCAGTCAGACTGGTTCCACCTCAAGATGGTGCTAAATGCTGACAAAAATAAAAAGGGATGTTGTTTTGAAACAGAAAGTTGGTGCCAGCAAGGGGGTTTAAAACAAACAGGCAGAACATCTGAAGAGCTGGTGCAAAGAGAATAACCTTCACATCAATGTGAAAAGACAAAGGAGATGATCATGGACTTCAGAAGGAACAAATACACCTACTCCCCCCACATGGGAGGATCTGCAGTGGAAGTGGTCTCCAGCTACAAGTACTTGGGTGTACACATGAACAACAACCTCAGCTGGAGCAACAACACCACCAGCCTGATCAATAAAGCTCATCAGAGACTCTACTTCCTCAGACGGCTGAGGCGAGCTGGTCTGGAAGCTCAGTCCTCACCTCCTTCTACAGGTGTGCAGTGGAGAGCATCCTGTGCTCCATCATCAACGTGTGGCATGGAGGCTGCACAGCTGCAGAAAGAAAAGCTTTGCAGAGAGTGGTGAAGGCTGCACAGAAGATGTTGGAGTCAGTCTCCCCACCATCACAGACACCTACACCTCCAGATGCAGGAAGAGGGCCACCTGCATCATGAAGGACCACACTCACCCAGCACACACACTTTTTGCCCCCGCTCCTCTCAGGCAGAAGATTGCGGAGCATTAAGTGTAGAACCACTAGACTGAGGAACAGCTTCTACCCTGAAGCTGTTAGACTCATGAATCTCTAACTAGAATAATCACTGCAAGAAATAAACAAATCTACTCACTGCAGACTCATGTTCCGGCTGCTGTTTAATATATCATATTATTTTACATTATTAGTGTGTAGCGTACACTGTATCTTAGACCTTTTAACGTATTGTTTAGCATTCGTTCAGCATATATATTGGTGTACACACAGTTTATTTTTATACTGTATATTCTTGCAAACTTTGGGTGTAACTGGAACTTTGAGCACACAATTTTGTTCCACCTCATCAACTTGTAACATTTTGACCTTGAAACATTTGATAAAGTCAACAGAACCATCAAAGCAAATACGTTCTTGTTTTAGTATTTTACCTTGTTTTATATGGCACCTTGATTTATTGTTTTATAACACCACTTTTATTTTAACTGCGTTTTACTGTAGTTTATTGTTGTCCGTCTAAAACAGGTCTCTCTTTAAACGAGTCCTCGTGACTCAGTGAGACCAACTGGATAAACAAAGGTCGAATGAATGAACCTGGGATTCCTGTTAACTTTTAAAAATAATGAACAATGACGGCACAAAAACATGGTTGAAAGTTTTATTTTACATTCAAAGCAATTGTTTTAACTTGTAAAAATGTTATAGGACTGATGAGGGGGACACATACAGACTGATACATTTATATAAACTGTGATCTGTCCGTTCACAAGACACAAAGAAATGGATTTTTTTCACTTCCTGTGTGATAAATCATCCAAAATGCTGAGAGCACCAAGTCTCCTCCCACAGTTTTTACTCAAACACAAACCATCCTGTTTTCATCTCCTGCTTTTGGGTTGAACCAACATTTCTCAATTAAATGCACATTTTTTTCCTCACGGGTATGAAATCAAAGTTCCAAGCTCACAAGTTTTTCAACATCTGTATCTTCATACAACTCAATAAACCTCCCAGTTCCTATAATTGCCTCACCTACGTCAGCTGTGTGTAGTTAGTGACTGAGGCAACAAGGATAAAGTTGTCTGCTGGGTCTCCGCAGAGCGTTTGTTGTTTTACCATGGCTGCAGCCATCGGGATTCTGTTGAGGTGAGTTTGGATTTCCTAACACTAGAACATCACAGATGTTTAACGGGCAAAACATGGAAAAAAAATTGACTGTTGTAGTTAATTTAATCCCAGAACAGCAAAAATTGTGCGTATTGTTTGAAAAGTGTCTGCTTTAAAATGGTGTTGACTCTAACTAAACTTTCTTTTTGTTCCAGGGTCCTTCTGTTTTGCTTGTTGGCTGCCAGAGGATTTCAAGCAACTGGTAAGTTTTTGCTCAAATGACCACTTTAACCAGACGTATGCATGAACTGACATGTTTTCTTTTAACAGCAGCCAGCGCTGGATCTGCTGAGATAACCGAGAGTGAAGATGTACTGGATGCTGACTCCACGTCAGATTCAACTAGCACTGATGCTATAGATGAGTCTTCATGGGCACCTGAGGATTCAATCTTTGAACCAAATGAGACGAGCAGCCACCACTTCAAAGGGCGTGAGCTGCAGGAAACCGAACCACTACAGCACAACAAATCAAGGCACCACAATTTATCCAGTGATTTTCAAGAGGAATTGCCAGATAAATCTGGTAAGTCACGAAAATGCCTCTTCAGAGAGCCCAACCAGCCACCGTGCGAAGCTGAAGGACCCCGGGAAGTGATTTGCTCAACGTTGGAAACTTTCTGCAAACCCCAGGATTCAGAAACCCTTGCAGGCCAACACCATCTATATTCACAAATGTCTCAATTGCTTAGATTGCTAAAGCAGATTAACTACAGGCCCGAGGAGGAACCACCACATGGCGCTTTACCCAAGTGGCTCCAGGAGCACAAACGAGATAGATATGTGCCCAAAAGGCTGTTTGGTCCCCAGCAACACGGATTCCTTCCAAAGCATCATGACTACGCACCCCATAAGCATCAAAGTTCTCGAGTACCTCATTACTATGATTCAAAACCCCAGCCTTATGATCTCCAGATCCCAGAAAGTTACTCCCAAGGTCACCTTTCAAGGGAGTTTAGAGAGCCCCACAGTTACCTGCCCCATTCTCGACACCATGAATACCTACCTCAAGACTTTCAGCGCCGGATCCCTCATGAGAAGCCCAGTTTCAAGCCTCAAGTTCACCGGATGCCACGGTACATGGCCAGGTGGACGGACTTCCTGCCCCAGAGGCCACATTACTTAGCCATGCGTCCAAGGCTCTCGGCCAACCGGCTGCAGTACAGGCAGCCAGCCAACATGCCTCAAATGTTTTACTATGCATCAAAGTAACTTCAGTCGGCATCAGAGGTGTCTGTTTCATGGGGAGCCGGTTTGCAATTTACATCGTGCTGCAGTGAGATAAGTTTGGACCGTTTCGTTTTTAATCAGTTTTCTAACGTGCAATAAAAGTCTATGCGCCTTGAATGTTTCTGAACATTTGTTAAACTAAGTTTGTGATGCAGCGGATTCAAAACTCCAGAAAACTGGTTTCAGGCCTTGACAAGTTTGTTGTCTAAAACCTGTTTTCAAACTATTTAAAATGGTTGGAACATTAAAAAAAAAATGTATCCAGGGAATTGTGCAGAATTTCAAGCAGGCTCTTCAATGATTCTGGTAGGATCTAGGAAATTGGTGAGTCAAACTCTGAACTGAAGCACTGTACAAAATTAAAGAGTTTTGTTCATGTCAAAGTAACTTTGGTTTTTATTTGTCGTCCTCATTCAAGGTGTGGTTTCAAAATGAGTTGAGCATTACACTTCAGTTAAGTTTACCCTGGCTGAAATGCTTCAAACGGGGTTTGGGTTTCCTCCATGGGAAACCACTGAGGCGGGTTTGAACTTATTGATGGCAGCTACTGAAGCAAAGTCCATGTTGCATTAAACTGAACGGATGACTACGGTTCCCCCAATTTACCTTGAATGTGTTCACTCAAACATTTGTACGACCGAACTTCAAATTCTTGAAACGGTCAAATCTCTACCCTTGAAATTTAGGTGGACTACTTGGAGGGACAATTGAACTCGTGGAGTGGGAAAAACAAAACTGGAGATGCAGGTGCACCGAGAGACGATGAAGGAACTGAACTGTTCTGTTTTTCTGCACAAGTTCCTGCAGTTAGGACATCTGCAGAAATGTGTTGGAGAATAAGGTGAAGAGCACGGAGGAGAACTGAGCTGAGAACCGCGTCTGATCCAAGAAGTCGAGATGAATGTGTCAACATGGCGACACGTGCTCTGAGTTGATCATTGACCCGTGTGGAGGAGGAGGTGTGTTAAAGTTGGACTCGCAAAGCATCCGTGATGGAGAGGACGTCAGCTGAGCGAGCAGGTCTGAGCCTTTTCCTTTGTCTAAATGGAGAGATTTTCACCGGCTGCAGCACACCCCCTCATTAACAGGCCTGCAACTTTATTAAATAAACTTTATTTGAACCAGACAATATTACAAAAATCTTCCAATCCAAAGAAGCATCAAAACACAAATTTAATAAAAAGATACCTATCAAACTAGACCTCACAGTTCTTAACTAAATATAAATGCAACTATCTCAACAAATATACAAAAATAAATTCACGTTTAAATAGCAGAGGATCTGAAACAATAAATACAATACAAAGAGAAAAGGAATAAACAAAGGGATCTGCTTATTGGATAAAATTAAATTTCTGAATAAGAGTTTTTGTTAGAAGTTTTTTATTGTTTAAGCTTTTCAATAGAGGCAATATATATTTTAGGTCAGTTTCTTTAAAATTATTAAATGAGGATATTTTTTCATTCCACTTCATTTTGTGTATATAATATTTATAATTAGATTTATTATAAATAGTTCGTCTGAAGAAAAGAATGAATTATTAACGATGAACAATATTTGCATTTTTGATAACACGATGCACTTTTTAATTTTTCCAGTAAGCAGTTTTTGTATTTCAGACCAGAATGTTGTGAAAACAATCTACAAATAGATGTTCGATACTTTCACCTTCACTCTGGCAAAAAGAGCAACTTTCTGACATTTGGGGAGAAACGGCCAATGTAGTCTTTAACTGGATAATATCTATGTAACATTTTAAATACAAATTCTTTAATTCTATAAGATAAAATATATTTATAAGACAAGATTTCACTCCATAGTTTATTGCCTAAGTAGCCCCATCTATGTTTACTTATGGGAGTAGAGAAAGTAACTGAGATCTGATAAACCTGTTATTAAAATCTTTATGCATTATATTAGTACCTTCAATAGAAACTGAATCATAAAAGTATAATTTGTCTAAATGTATGGTTTGTGCTAGTGCATTTAAGTTATGAGGAATAGAATTAATGACCAAATCAAATTCTTTTTGAGATATATTTATATCATTAATGTTAATAAAATTCTCATAAGTATACCATTCACCATTAATGTCAAGTAACAGATAAATACTTTTGTTAGCCTAATTATGTAAGTATAATGATTTGTTTTTATATAAAATATAAGCATTATTCCATATGATGCAGTTATGAGGAGAGTAATTATGTTTATATAGCAGAGCCTGTTCATGGAACTTAGTTAACTTGATTGGAAGTTTTCCCACTGAGTAAAGGCAACGCAACAAAAAGTTAATACCCCCCGTTTTATTAAACAAATAATTTGGGAAAATATTCCGCATAGAATTTAAATTTTTTTAGGAATCGTTTAATCCAATTAATTTTTAAAATTTGATTAAAAATAGAAAACGTCAACATATTTAAGCCTCCTTCAACTAAAGAATTTGAGAGAACAGATTTTTTAATTTTATGAGCTTTATTTTTCCAAAGAAATTTGAAAAGAATCTTAAGTTCAGAACAGAGCTCCTTACTGAGATAAAAAACATCACACGCCC